AGGGAAACGCAGACTTCAGATAAGTTATAAACAATTTATTAACACTAACAATACAAACATAAACGCAGTGCAATACTAAAACATAACACAGTGCAAACGAACCAAACCAAACCACCCACAGATAACAGTACATACAGTGCAAGCATCAGGCAGGCCGGGTCAATATCAATCGGGCAGGTAGGTACAGGGGGAGCAAGCGGAGAATAGTCAGGTCACGAGCAGGGTACAGCAACTAACAGGCATAAAAGTGGCCACCCCCGCCCAAGTCTATAACTGGCTTATGAAGCAAGGACACATAAACAGGCATCACATAGTGAAAAAAAGGGGGAGAGAACAATGTTCTTGGACAACTTGCCAGCCAGCTTGCTAACAACCAAATTAACCTGTCTAACAGTATGCGTTTATAACAGGGGTTTAGTTAGCACACATTTGCAAATACATACGTAAGCCACAGAGCCACGCCACGGCACCCTGATCATCTGTGGTCCTAACTCTAAAATTTGTGAGTCCCCATAGTAGAGGCACATGCATTTAATGGATAGATCAAGGGCAGGTGGACCTGAGGGAGCCACCCCTCTTAAAGGCAAAGGAGTGCACTGGACCCCAGCATGTAGCACAATGGCAACCAGGGCCCTAGTGCACCCACGTACCAAAAACTCAAACATGCATAAAAGTGGCCACCCGCCCAAGTCTATAACTGGCTTATGAAGCAAGGACACATAGACAGGCATCACATAGTGAAAAAAAGGGGGAGAGAGAACAATGTTCTTGGACAACTTGCCACCAGCTTGCTAAACCAAATTTAACCTGTCTAACAGTATGCGTTTATAACAGGGGTTTAGTTAGCACACATTTGCAAATACATACGTAAGCCACAGAGCCACGCCACGGCACCCTGATCATCTGTGGTCCTAACTCTAAAATTTGTGAGTCCCCATAGTAGAGGCACATGCATTTAATGGATAGATCAAGGGCAGGTGGACCTGAGGGAGCCACCCCTCTTAAAGGCAAAGGAGTGCACTGGACCCCAGCATGTAGCACAATGGCAACCAGGGCCCTAGTGCACCCACGTACCAAAAACTCAAACATGCATAAAAGTGGCCACCCGCCCAAGTCTATAACTGGCTTATGAAGCAAGGACACATAAACAGGCATCACATAGTGAAAAAAAGGGGGAGAGAACAATGTTCTTGGACAACTTGCCAGCCAGCTTGCTAACAACCAAATTAACCTGTCTAACAGTATGCGTTTATAACAGGGGTTTAGTTAGCACACATTTGCAAATACATACGTAAGCCACAGAGCCACGACACGGCACCCTGATCATCTGTGGTCCTAACTCTAAAATTTGTGAGTCCCCATAGTAGAGGCACATGCATTTAATGGATAGATCAAGGGCAGGTGGACCTGAGGGAGCCACCCCTCTTAAAGGCAAAGGAGTGCACTGGACCCCAGCATGTAGCACAATGGCAACCAGGGCCCTAGTGCACCCACGTACCAAAAACTCAAACATGCATAAAAGTGGCCACCCGCCCAAGTCTATAACTGGCTTATGAAGCAAGGACACATAGACAGGCATCACATAGTGAAAAAAAGGGGGAGAGAACAATGTTCTTGGACAACTTGCCAGCCAGCTTGCTAACAACCAAATTAACCTGTCTAACAGTATGCGTTTATAACAGGGGTTTAGTTAGCACACATTTGCAAATACATACGTAAGCCACAGAGCCACGACACGGCACCCTGATCATCTGTGGTCCTAACTCTAAAATTTGTGAGTCCCCATAGTAGAGGCACATGCATTTAATGGATAGATCAAGGGCAGGTGGACCTGAGGGAGCCACCCCTCTTAAAGGCAAAGGAGTGCACTGGACCCCAGCATGTAGCACAATGGCAACCAGGGCCCTAGTGCACCCACGTACCAAAAACTCAAACATGCATAAAAGTGGCCACCCGCCCAAGTCTATAACTGGCTTATGAAGCAAGGACACATAAACAGGCATCACATAGTGAAAAAAAGGGGGAGAGAACAATGTTCTTGGACAACTTGCCAGCCAGCTTGCTAACAACCAAATTAACCTGTCTAACAGTATGCGTTTATAACAGGGGTTTAGTTAGCACACATTTGCAAATACATACGTAAGCCACAGAGCCACGACACGGCACCCTGATCATCTGTGGTCCTAACTCTAAAATTTGTGAGTCCCCATAGTAGAGGCACATGCATTTAATGGATAGATCAAGGGCAGGTGGACCTGAGGGAGCCACCCCTCTTAAAGGCAAAGGAGTGCACTGGACCCCAGCATGTAGCACAATGGCAACCAGGGCCCTAGTGCACCCACGTACCAAAAACTCAAACATGCATAAAAGTGGCCACCCGCCCAAGTCTATAACTGGCTTATGAAGCAAGGACACATAGACAGGCATCACATAGTGAAAAAAAGGGGGAGAGAACAATGTTCTTGGACAACTTGCCAGCCAGCTTGCTAACAACCAAATTAACCTGTCTAACAGTATGCGTTTATAACAGGGGTTTAGTTAGCACACATTTGCAAATACATACGTAAGCCACAGAGCCACGACACGGCACCCTGATCATCTGTGGTCCTAACTCTAAAATTTGTGAGTCCCCATAGTAGAGGCACTAACAGGCAGGTAGGTACAGGGGGTCAGGCAGAGAATGGTCGGGGTCACAAGCCAGGGATCAGAACAGGAGGCGTCAGCAGAGGTCAGAATCAAGCCGGGTCAGCAACAAGACAGGAACAGGATGCAGGATGCCCAGCCCAGGAAAAACACAACACCAAGGCAGAGTCTGCAGGTCTGAATGTCCCTTAAATACACCAGTATAATTAGTTCCAGGTGTTTGACTGGCTGCAAGGTTGAGTCTCTGATTGCTGGGAGCACCCGCTGGCCAGCCCTGGTACTGCAGCTCACAAGGCAGGTGAGTCCCACTATTGCTGGCCAGTCCATTCCTGACAGTACCCCCCCCCTCAAGGAGCGGCCTCAGGACGCTCCAAACAGTCCTAGCTGGGCAAAATGTTCCACCGCCCGGGTCTGGTAACTGGCGGGATATCAAAGACTGGCACACCGGGCAGGACTCCGGACAGCGGCACACCGGGCAGGACTCCGGGCAGGACTCCGAGCAGCGGCACACCGGGCAGAGGCACACCGGGCAGAGGCACACCGGCCTGGACTCCGGGCTGAGGCACATCGGGCTGGACTCCGGGCAGAGGCACATCGGGCTGGACTCCGGGCAGAGGCACATCGGGCTGGACTCCGGGCAGAGGCACATCGGGCTGGACTCCGGGCAGAGGCACATCGAGCTGGACTCTGGGCAGAGGCACATCGAGCTGGACTCCGGGCAGAGGCACATCGGGCTGGACTCCGGGCAGAGGCACATCGGGCTGGACTCCGGGCAGAGGCACATCGGGCTGGACTCCGGGCAGAGGCACATCGGGCTGGACTCCGGGCAGAGGCACTCGGGCTGGACTCCGGGCAGAGGCACATCGGATTACCAGGTGAAGCAGCAGGCACCGGGCCCCCAGGCGGGGCGACAGGCATCAGGCCCCCAAGCGGAGCGGCGGGCCCCCAGGAGGGGCGACAGGCATCGGGCCCCCAGGAGGGGCGACAGGCATCGGGCCCCCAAGCGCAGCGGCGGGCGCCGGACCCCCAGGTGGAGCGACAGGTCTCAGGCCCCCAGGCGGAGCGACAGGTCTCAGGCCCCCAGGCGGAGCGACAGGTCTCAGGCCCCCAGGCGGAGCGACAGGTCTCAGGCCCCCAGGCGGAGGCAGGTCTCCCCCCGGGCGACAGGTCTCAGGCCCCCAGGCGGAGCGACAGGTCTCAGGCCCCCAGGCGGAGCGGCGGAGCGGCGGGCGCCGGACCCCCAGGCGGAGCGGCGGGCGCCGGACCCCCAGGCGGAGCGACAGGTCTCGGGCCCCCAGGCGGAGCGGCGGGCACCAAGTCACCAGGCACGACAGGGCGTCACGACGTGAGTCCTGAAGACAGTGCGGGCACCGAGTCGTCTGGCAAGACTGCGGGCACCGAGTCCCCAGGCGGAAGACTGCGGGCACCGAGTCCCCTGGCAAGACTGCGGGCACCGAGTCGTCTGGCAAGACTGCGGGCACCGAGTCGTCTGGCAAGACAGCGGGCACGAGTCGTCTGGCAAGAGCGGGCACCGAGTCGTCTGGCAAGACTGCGGGCACCGAGTCGTCTGGCAAGACTGCGGGCACCGAGTCGTCTGGCAAGACTGCGGGCACCGAGTCGTCTGGCAAGACTGCGGGCACCGAGTCGTCTGGCGGAACAGTGGGCATCGAGTCCACTGGCGGAACAGCGGGCACCGAGTCGTCTGGCAAGACTGCGGGCACCGAGTCGCCTGGCAAGACTGCGGGCACCGAGTTGCTGGCAAGACTGCGGGCACCGAGTCGTCTGGCAAGACTGCGGGCACCGAGTCGTCTGGCGGAACAGCGGGCATCGAGTCGACTGGCAGAACAGCGGGCACCGGTCGTCTGGCAAGACTGCGGGCACCGAGTCGTCTGGCAAGACTGCGGGCACCGAGTCGTCTGGCAAGACTGCGGGCACCGAGTCGTCTGGCGGAACAGCGGGCATCGAGTCAACTGGCGGAACAGCGGGCACCGAGTCGTCTGGCAAGACTGCGGGCACCGAGTCGTCTGGCAAGACTGCGGGCACCGAGTCGCCTGGCAAGACTGCGGGCACCGAGTCGTCTGGCAAGACTGCGGGCACCGAGTCGTCTGGCGGAACAGCGGGCATCGAGTCAACTGGCAGAACAGCGGGCACCGAGTCGTCTGGCAAGACTGCGGGCACCGAGTTGTCTGGCAAGACTGTGGGGCACCGAGTCGTCTGGCAAGACTGCGGGCACCGAGTCAACTGGCAAGACTGCGGGCACCGAGTCAACTGGCGGAACAGCGGGCACACGAGTCGTCTGGCAAGACTGCGGGCACCGAGTCGTCTGGCAAGACTGCGGGCACCGAGTCAACTGGCGGACAGCGGGCATCGAGTCAACTGGCGGAACAGCGGGCACCGAGTCGTCTGGCAAGACTGCGGGCACCGAGTCGTCTGGCAAGACTGCGGGCACCGAGTCGTCTGGCAAGACTGCGGGCACCGAGTCAACTGGCGGAACAGCGGGCACCGAGTCGTCTGGCAAGACTGCGGGCACCGAGTCGTCTGGCAAGACTGCAGGCACCGAGTCGTCTGGCATTGGATCGTCTGGCTCGACAGCGGGCATCGGGTCACCAGGTATGACAGCGGGCACTGGGTCACCAGGCATCAGGTCATTTGGCTCGCCAGCGGGCACCGCGTCATCTGGCAAGGCAGTGGGCACCGAGTCACCAGGTACGACAGCGGGCTCTGAGTCAATTGGCATGACAGCGGGCACCGGATCAGGTACCGGATTATCTGGATCAACAGCGGGCATCGAGTCAACTGGCCTAATAGGATCATCAGGCTGGATCAGTTCATTATGCTGGGTAGAAGGACCCGGCTGAGTAGAGGCATCCGGCTGAGTAGAGGCTTCAGGCTGAGTAGAGGCTTCAGGCTGAGTAGAGGCTTCAGGCTGAGTAGAGGCATCAGGCTGAGTAGAGGCATCAGGCTGAGAGAGGCATCAGGCTGAAGAGAGGCATCAGGCTGAAGAGAGGCATCAGGCTGAGAGAGGCATCAGGCTGAGTAGAGGCTTCAGGCTGAGTAGAGGCTTCAGGCTGAGTAGAGGCTTCAGGCTGAGTAGAGGCATCAGGCTGAACCACGGAAGGCAGGTTCTCAGACGGTAGGCTCACCGGTTTGGATACTGGCAGGATGGTACTGGTTGGAAAGAATTTTCGCTTTTTTCTGGTTTTAACTACTGGGGCACTGCAAGTAAACGCAGGTCTGCAAATGAATGGAGCAGCTGGAGACAGAGAAGAGCTGGAGGATGGAACAGGGGAAGGAACAGTCGCTACAGAGGGCTTCTTTACAGGGTTAAAGGCAGGATAGGTGCAGTGAGTGGGAACAGGGTACTGACATGCGGTAGATAGCCAAGTATACTGGGCTGTAACTGGAGGAGCTGTTGGGAATACAGGAGTAGAGTTTTGAGGAAATAGATTAGAAGCAGGACTGGGTCTTTGTAAGCTGACTGAGGCTGGGTGTAACAAATCTGTCCATGTCTGCAGTATGGGTTGAACAAAGCTGAGCTTACACAAAGCCTGTCTGACCAAAGACTGCACTGCGTTTATACAATCTCTTAGTACCTGTGGTGAACATGTGGAATAACGCTCCAGAAAGTAACCCACATCATCCTCTAATAACCATACCAGGGACTCTACCTGGTCTGCACTAAATGGTGGCAAAAATTCATCTCTGCATTCGGGGGTACCAGATGAAACCAACTCAGCACAAACCTCAATCAATGGCTGCACCTCAGAGAACTCTGTGCCCTGATCTACTAGAACATGAGCGAGCCGTATACATTCTAGCAGTTCATCCCGGGTATACTCCTTCAGAGTTTGATAAGCATACTCCCTGTCATCAAACACTAGCAGATATAAATACGCAACCTCATCCAGATCCATCCTTCCCATCAACAAACCAAGATGGCTTCCCTGTGCAGCCACTTCTGGTCAGGATTGGCCTTGGTGTAATGTCAGGGCTCCCGGGTATGACCAGAGGTGTGTGACTGACGCAGGGAAATGCAGACTTCAGATAAGTTATAAACAATTTATTAGCACTAACAATACAAACATAAACGCAGTGCAATACTAAAACATAACACAGTGCAAACGAACCAAACAAACCACCCACAGATAACAGTACATACAGTGCAAGCGTCAGGCAGGCAGGCCGGGTCAATATCAATCGGGCAGGTAGGTACAGGGGGAGCAAGCGGAGAATAGTCAGGTCACGAGCAGGGTACAGCAACTAACAGGCAGGTAGGTACAGGGGGTCAGGCAGAGAATGGTCGGGGTCACAAGCCAGGGATCAGAACAGGAGGAGTCAGCAGAGGTCAGAATCAAGCCGGGTCAGCAACAAGACAGGAACAGGATGCAGGATGCAGGATGCAGGGCCCAGGAAAAACACAACACCAAGGCAGAGTCTGCAGGTCTGAATGTCCCTTAAATACACCAGTATAATTAGTTCCAGGTGTTTGACTGGCTGCAAGGTTGAGTCTCTGATTGCTGGCAGCACCCGCTGGCCAGCCCTGGTACTGCAGCTCACAAGGCAGGTGAGTCCCACTATTGCTGGCCAGTCCATTCCTGACACCTGCAGAGAGTACATTATGTTTTTTTTACCTACCTACTGTAGTTGAATACTTATGTTTCTTTATACTGGATTCCAGTAGAGGAATGATTTGTTTAATTTATTTCACGCTTTCTTACTTTTTTCTGGACTGTTCATCCCCTATTTAATGTTTTTGTTATAGAGATGTAGAGCTCTTCACCCCCCCCATTCCCCCCAGGAGCTTTTGGATATGATGGGTCCTCTGTTCTGCCACAACTTTTTAACTGCTTGCTCTCCAACAACACACCTGGTTATGAAAAATATTTTGAAAATGTCAAATCCAAATCAGCCATTTATTGTAGCCAAGGACTTTAACCGCTAGCCTACAGGGCACTTATACCCCCTTCCTGCCCAGGCCAATTTCCAGCTGTCAGCGCTGTCGCACTTTGAATGACAATTGCGCGGTCATACAACACTGTACCCATATGACATTTTTATAACTTTTTTGTGACAGATAGAGGTTTCTTTTGGTGGGATTTAATCACCTCTGGGTTTTTTATTTTTTCTTAAACAAAACAAAAACCACTGAAAATTTTGGAAAAAAAAAAAAACGTTTTTCTTAGTTTTTGTTATAAAATATTTTGTTATAAAATATTTTGTAAATAAGTGATTTTTCTCCTTCAATGATATACGCTAATGAGGCTGCAGTGGTGGGCACTGATAGGCTGCACTGATGGACACTGATAGGTGGCACTGATGGGCACTGAAGAGGAGGCACTGGTAGGTGGCACTGATGGGCATTGACAGGCATCACTGATGGGCACTGAAAGGCAGCACTTATAGGCGGCACTGATAGGCGGCACTGACTGGCACTGTTAGGCGGCACTGACTGGCACTGGTAGGTGGCACCGACACGGCATTGATAGGCGGCACTGATGCGCACCGATAGGCGGCACTGACTGGCACTGATAGGCGGCACTGATTGGCACTGATAGGTGGCACAGATTGGCAGCACTGATAGGTGGCACTGATTGGCATTGATAGGTGGCACTGACTGGAACTGATGGGTGACACTGAAAGGCAGCTCAGATGGGCACTGATATGTGGCATTGATGTGCACTGGTAGGCACTAATATGTGGCATTGATGTGGCACTGATGGGCACTGGAACGAGGCACTGATGAGCACTGACACAAGGCACTGATGGACACTGACTCCCTGAGCCGCGCATGTGCGGTGAGAATGGGAGGACGTCATATGATGTCCTCCCAGCATAAGAGAACCACCTTGTGCCCGTCATTGGACTATATGGCCGGTGGGAGGTGGTTAAAGAGTGTACAGGTTGTGGCACCATACAGAAGATTTTGTTTTTTTTTATATATAAAAAATATAAGGTTTATTATACAAATATTAAAAACACATAAAAACACCCTTGTTGAGTGATAACGGGTTAAAATAATCAATCCACATTATTACATAGTATAAGAACTCATGCCACAATTCATTTATAATACAGTATAATAAATTATAATACATCTTTCTCAGGAATGTATGTGGATGAAGTCTGAAACAAAGTGACACATAATTTTATAATAGAACAGATAACAACTTCAGAATCATGTTAGAACAAATAATAATAATCGTAGTACGGAGATCCTCATACCTATGTGGTAGAACCTATTCACTAAAACAATATATATAGTTTCACAAAGATAAAAAGTATAGATCATCATTTTCTCAATGGAGGAGCATAAGAGAACATTGTAAGGATAGAGGACATCTGGATTACGCACAATGGATGCAAGGGTTTGCAAACACAAGGCATAAACCACCAAGCAGGCAAATGAAACATGTTTCAAGATGCTAAACAGGGTGAACACTGGCCTGGCAATTACTGTACTGAAGTAATGATAAATGCACTTTAACCAATGCAAATAGGATCAAAAGTATCAGCATTAGCTAGCCCAAAAGAATAAAGGTCCTCATGTGTACATATTGCACACAGCCCTTTTAGTGAGTGAGAGTATGCATTCCTACCAATGGGGTACCCCTGGAGGTGACTATAAGTACCTGGCATCTAATTGTCAGTATTAGCTGGCTACCATTGGGGCCCTTCTGTAAGGTGGTGCACGTGAAGCTGTCCTTTTAAGAGTGTGTAATGAATGACTGATGGGCTGCTGTAGAAGGAACAGTTTGTATTGCATTAACTGTACCAGTGTAGAGATAAGCACAGACAATTCAGTTCACTTCTCCAGGCATGCAACAGGCTTTGTCCCACAGGCCTGGAGGTCTTCTGTCCAGAAAAAAATCAATCCTATTTTCCTGAGCAGGTTCTTACAAGTCTGTTTCTCACTGGTGTAAGCAACAGGTCTCTCCAGCTCTGGTTCCAACTCAGTGGAAGACCTCTCAGGGTCTGTCCTCTCTGACACAGTACACAGACCCCAGCAACAGGTCTGCACTGTCTCATTCCCTACGCTGGTCTGCCCTGATCTCTGGTAATCTTCTCACAAAAATGCTGTCCTTCTCCTCATATTTTCAGGGAATCCTGGGTATTAATGTTCACAGCTCATAGGCTCCAGCTTCTTGGAGGGAGAGGAAGTGCACACAGTCTGCAGAACTTGGCTACACTTATATAAATATCAAATGTGGCACAAGTTTTTTTAAAGAGGGTTGTAGGAAGCACACAAGGCAGCATTGATTTTTAAAGGGACTGTAATGGCAGCAGTCTCTGGCGGTCTAACTCGTCTCCTGAAGGATGTCCCAAATCCATAACAACTTCTATAGTATTTGTGGTTATGCATGGCCTTTGATGATTTCCTTTTCCATGTCTTTAATTTCTGACCATTCATTGATGCACTGGATTACATGGAGTGTGGCGGATTACATAGATACTTTACATTTGATTGTTTGACTGAGGAGTGGAGGTGAACTCTAGAGAGGCATTGGTGCCTGTGGGTCACAGGACACCACAGGTTGTGACTTAGAGAGGCACTTGTTATTTCTTTTTGTAGATTAAATGAAGAAGCATGCATAGCAGGCTGAAAATACTGCTGCTAATTGAGCGCAGTAACTCAACATTGTCAATCTGCAACAAAATGTGCTGCTACTGGCAGGAAATCAAGGTAAGAAACTTTGCAACAGGTTCACAAAAAGTGTATTCGATAAAACTTTAAATGTGATGCCAATATACTTGCAATCAATTTAGGGTTTACATTCATTAGTTCTGTGCATATGTATATAATTAGCATATTGGTTGTATGTGAATGTATTTTGGCTGCCTGCACTAGACAACTGTAGCAGCTGTGGGCTTTTAACATAGCAATAGAAGTAACCAGAGAACAGTGCATATGGGAGACCTCTGAAAGAACACAGTGATGGATAAGAGTGTGCAGTTCAGTGACCCTGTCACAAGAATTGATGTTTCAGCAGCATTTTAGTGAATTGAAGTGTGTGAAATATACCAGGTTTTCTTGCTGAAAGTATTTGTGTGAAGAGACCCAGAGGTGACTGGCCTGAAGTAAGACGGAGAACCAATCTCTTCCTTGTCACATCACAGGGCTGTATAGGGTAAGCTTGACAAATTTTCAAAATGATGTCTAGGGACAGCGTACTGACCATGTCCACTTTTAACAACACCACCCCCAAAAATACACCATTTAACCCACACCCAGAAAAATATGCCCACAGTTTCAACACACCCTCAAACAATTGGCCAACGGCTTTTGGAACAAGAGGCAGACATTCAAGGTGTAAAGCCTCCATCATATCCTCAGAATAAATAATAATAAACCTACTTTTCACTTTACACGAGTGCACGATCCGTGGTCTTCATCATGTGGTAACTCACGGTACCAACAAAAGCAAAGATGTTCAGTACTTCCATAGTCCATATGAAAAGCGTTTTATTGTGGCATTCTAAAATCAGAAAGTCATAAATCTGTAGTAAAAAAAGTGAACTGGGCAAAATTCAGCTTGCATGCAGTTCAGTGAACTGAGGATACAATTCACTCATTTCATACTTAATGATGAATCCCAGTATATGGGAGCTTGAATGTAGTTTTTTTTCTCTTTCCTTTTTCAAGGCCGTTTTTTAGGTAGTGGGATACTGCCATAAGGGCACCTAAATGGGTTTTTTGTACCTTCCATAGTGCCTGTTCCTTGGAGTTTATTAAGAATACAGGGTCGTAACTAAATGAGAGAGAATTGGGACATCCAAAAGCAGTCCAACTGAGGTGATGGGCAACAAACAGACAAAAAATGCCCACAAGCCAACATAACAACAGGGAGCCATCTAGAAATGGCGAAATGAGAAGCAGGTTGTCCCTAAGGCTAGGCTTAGATGTCTGGCAATCTTTGCCACCATTCTGAGAAGTACTTTGTGGTGGATTGATTTTCAGAAGCATTTGATAGGCAGTGAGAAGGCAATATGTCCCCCTGGAAATGCCATACCCCCATGCTGCAACCATTGTACATGGTTGCAGGGTGGCTGTGACATGGCCCAATTCTCTTGATTGTTTCATGTTCAGTGATAGTACTGGCCACTGAATGCAACAGGGGGTATAAATTGTGCAGCGTCTGCAAAGCACAGCATTGGGCCTTGACTTGTGTGCCTCCCATCCAACTGCCTTTGCAGCTTAAGCAGGCTCATCCATCTGTTTTTACTGCCCCCAGCCACAAGCGTAAGTGAGCTCTAATGGGGAGCCTCAGGAATAACTTGGAGTCAGTCAGTCTGAAGGAAGATGTAGCTGTAAGATAAACATGAACAGTTCTAGGCACATGAACAAATTTAAGGCAAATCTCTCTGTGGTATATTAGGGTCAGGCAAAAAGTGGAAGTATAATGCCCTGGTTAAGGTAAAAGAAAGAAGCTATCTTAGTGAGAAAACAGGTAAGACAAGACCACTAGTTCAGAAACACATTTTGATGGCAAATAGGAAACTTTGTTGATAACATTCAGCAGGGTAATACCCTTAAGAGGTTCAAAAGTTGGTCTTTGAAGAGCTCGCAGAACCAGCCTGGGATCAAATGGTGTCACTGGAGGTTGTATAGATAGGACTATGAGAGTCAAGCTGTCTGGAACAAGATCCTGAAAGCAGAGATTTATTCCTTGATACTACTTTGGGCAAAATGTGACTGCAGAGAGGTCAGCATCCTTTCTATGGAAAATTTTCTGGGATGACATTTTCTTGTCTTGACCCAGGCAAAGTATGCTTTCATGCGTGGTAGTAGATCTTTTGAAAGGTGGACTTCCTAGATTTTAAGAGATCAGAAATTACAGACTCACACCCCTGTCTCTCAGAACCTGGGCCTCAACAGGCATCCAAGTCAAAAACCATGAACCAACAGGCATCCAAGTGCAAAACCAATCCCTGGGACAGAAGATCCTGATGATCTGGAAAAGGCAATGGTGTGTCTGCCAGGATTCTGATAAAGCTGGAGTACCACATTCTTTGGGGCCTCTTTGGTATGCTGTCAACCACTGGAATGCCCTCTACTTCAGTTTCAGAGAAGGAAAGGCATAAATCAGATTGTACTGATCCCATGGAGCCACCAGAGTATCTAGTTGCACTGTCAGAGAATCTTTACTCTTGGATACAAACCTGCTTAATTTGTTGTTGAATATGGAGACCAGAAGGTCCACATTACTTGTTGCCTATCTTTGGCAGAGGTGCTGAATAATGATGGGTAAACATGCATGGATTCAATTAGCAGGGGCATTGAAAAGGTTTGCAACAAGTTCACAAACAGCAAATATTAATGTGAACTGAATTGAAGTCAACATAACCAATTAAGCCCTACTTAAAGTGGTTGTAAAGTTAAAAAGATTTTTTACCATGATTTATATATATGCTATTTGGTTTGAAATATCCAATTAATATGTACATTAGATGTGACCCCTGTGAATTTTTAAATCGGTTTATGTACATGTTTAATGTGTCTTGGTTTTTAATCAATAAAAGATATTAGTGAAATCAATGATATCTGTCGGTACCAATTTTTCAATTTTTGATAAATGAATTATACCTGGGTTGAGGTGTTGAGCCAAATCCTATCTTTTATGTAAGTAATGTTTTGGCAGAAGAAAAAATATACACCAATTCACCCACATACCTAGTGTCTCAATGCCAGCTTTCTCAAATTGTTGGCATTACAGCTGCTCCCATTCCAATGGACTCTGCCTCTTCCATGAATTTGTGGGCTGTGCTGTAC